GGCAACACGGGTTTGTTGCCTTAGACTTACGCAACATATAAACTCCTCTTAGGCATCATTTTTCATTTGTTGCCTAAGTGACATTTTGAGGTAGTGTGTATATTGATGCATATTATTTAAAATTCAAGATTACAAGTAAATTATGCATACGTACAACCTATTAAAGCTCGATGTTTGAATTCGTATAACTAACTGCGGATAAACATAATCAAATAAAGAATAGACATTTCATTTTAAAATATAAAAAATCTAAAATATAATTAGCTTTCTCAATATCGTCTTGAAAGTAATAGCTTATGCCAAGGCGTTGGATTGCATCAATCAGCTTTAACAAATTAGTATGCTGTGTTCGGAACATCCAAAGCTGCCGATATATCTTTCCTCACTTCTTCTTTCAAATCTATGACAATTTGTTCAACCTCCACTTGCTTTGGTTTCTGCATTCATTAGTGAATCAACATCAAAGTTGTTGTAAACATGCATATATATATATATATATATATATATATATTCAAAAGATAACACCTTCAATTCACGAGAACGTTAGAACACTTTTTTTATATAGTCAATCACATGTAATACTATATTATATCACATATGATACAAATGTGATATTAAATCAGAGATACAAACGACTTTTGGTGCGAATTAAGTTGCGTGCCAAGTCGCMTGTACACAACTAGGCCCCCTCACGTGTATTATCATATATAATAAGGGTGTTRTTGATTTGATATTATAATCGGAGGCACAAACGACCCTTAACGCAACCTAGGTSGCAAGGCACGTGTATATACATAGCAGATCYCTCACATGTATTATCACATTTGAAGAAGGTGTTCTCTCATTTTCATAAATAAAAGTATTATCGTTTGAATGTAGATAAACATTGCAATTAATTTGGTGACTCATAATTGAATTTTTGTTTGTGATGCTATAAAGAAGACCATTTATGATCCAAACCAATCACATACTTATCATCAWAATGTTTATMTCAATACAAAATATCTTTTTAGAAAAACATGGTATTTYTCGTCCCTGCAAAATGTGCAACTCTTATTCAAGTGCGTAGTGTCAAGTATATGTACAAATACCATCTAATTATAAATATATACATATATATACACACACATATAGTTCTGATTAAGCACAAGTTTTTACTTTCTCTTCCGTTTCATTTTCTTTCTCTTAAAAAAAAAAGTTCCGATAAGCACAAGTTTTTTACTTTCCTCCCATTGAACCATTTTCTTTCCTTTTATTCGTAATTTTTTTTTGGAGAACACAACRTAAGTTCAAAGATGACATACGCTTTTGGCCTAACGGTATGTAAGTCTTTGRCCTCCTATGARGTTAAGGGTTCAAATCTCACMAAATGTGAGAAGGGTGTGTGAGTTTATTTGTTMTATTTATCGTCATATAAATATTATATGCTTAAAATAAAGTTTTACACGAAGTTTTTCATAAATTAATCTTAAATCAGGTGGTCCGTGTATTCTTGGACATTAAAAAGGGAATGCTGCAATTTTCATGCGATGATGAATTACGTAATATTTTCTTGAAAGATTAGTTTTTAGAAAATTTATTTTAGACATAAAATTAGTTTTTTGGTGATCCGACACCCTCAACCCCTACCCCTACCCCGCACACCTCACCCTCACCCCTACTCACCCACCATCATGCCACTATCGTTGTCATCACAACTGCCACCCACCCGCCCTACCTCACACCATTGCCAACACCATCATGCCATTACTATCATCGTTACAGTTGTCAAGCCCCACCATTCCACCAAACAAACATAGAGATTCCAGTTCTTTTGAGAAATTCCATTTCATTCCCTACCAACGAAACACGTGGTCAAATTCCATTCCAATTCCTTCAAAGTCAAATTCCTTTGATGGATTTCAATTCCACTAAATTCCATTATGTGAACCAAACACTTCCCTAGTTTTTTAGCTTAAATTTAGATGTTTTTCGTATGCCTCTTATGTTTAAAAGACATTATTGTTAGGACTCGAACATGAGTTCCTTCTATGCAAGACAAGGAATTGATCATCCAATCTATATTAATATTGTGAAATATTTCTACAATTTGTTTTTATAGTCAAATTGTGCGACCATCTAAAAATCATGAATCTACCTCGACAATCATCTAAATTGATATGAGAATATATGTTTTGGTGTAGCAAATTACCGATTCCAATAATTCTAGGGGATTTTCTAGGCCAAAAACGTTGGTTTTAAACGTGTTAAGGTTGAGACATTTTGAATCAAATTCCAAAACTTTACATATAAATCAAAATAAATAGACAACTGATTTCTCAATCAAGAAAACTCGATATTCGTCAAGGAGATAAAAATTTGTCAAAACTTTGAATGTCTAAATCGTTCCGCTCACTATGTTTGTCAGTCTGCAGATGGTAAGTCGTACTTAACTTTAACTGTGATCCTATTTTTCTCTGAAAACTCTTCCAAAACATCTAAGTAAGTGATTGTCTCGATTTGATATAATCGATAAGGCACTTCGTGTCAATTTACTACTTCATTGATGTATGACTTTGCTACTCTTTCCAATGGATATGTTTCGTTGATTGGTAAGAATTGAGTGGATTTTGTCATTCAATCTACAATAAAGCCCAATAGCATCGAAACCTTTYGGAGTTCTCGACAATTTTATTACAAAATCCATCGTGATATGATCCCACTTCAAAACTGGAATTTCTAAATACTGTAGATTATCATAGGGTTATTGATGTATAAGGCTGATTTGTTGCAAGACACAACAGGCCATAAAGGATTTGAATTACAACAAGGTTTACTGTTGTATAAAGACTGGTTGGTAATATCCAGAACATCCAAGTTCATTCCTTTACTGTTTGAGGAGTTTCATGGATCTCCGACCAGAGGTCATACAAGGGCAGATCGTTCCTATAAGCGCATAGCTACTAAGGTTTTCTGGGCGGGCATGAGGAAAGATATAAACGACTTGGTGAGAAGTTGTGAAGTTCGTCAAAGGAATAAGACTTTTAGGAGCTGTTTACTAAGCACCAACTTAGTAAACACTTACCGGATAAATTTCCTCATCGGATGAACATGAGAAGGGTCAAAAATCTTAATGGATAAGAGCGATGAGAATGATGGAGTCTTACCCGGTAAGTAAGGATGACGACTCTTATCCAGGTAAGTGCTTATCCACTAAATTGTTGCATTCGATATGTTTTAATATACTAAAATCTTATGCATCAAAATAAATCATAATGTTGACTTCTATCGGTAAGCGTTTACCGGGTAAGTAATTGGGTAAACAGCCCCTACTACAGTTTGAGAGGAAATATCGATGGATTTTATTGAAGGCTTACGTAGGTCTGATGGTAGGAGCACCATTATGGTGGTTGTAGATTGTTTTAGTAAGTATGCCCACTTTATTGAATTGAAACATCCATATAATGCTCAATCGGTTGCTAAAGTTTTTGCAAAGAAAATAATACAGCTACATGGAATGCCCCAATCCATAGTTTCCGATAGAGATAAGATTTTCCAAATT